AGTTAGCAGTTTCTCAACTGTTATATAAATAAACAGCTCACCTGAGACCACCGGAGACACAGCTCCGGGGTGACGTTCTCCTGGAAGCCGCAGATGTCGGCGCCCACCCAGGGAATGCCAAAGAGGCTAAACTCGAGCAGCTGCACCACCGACCGCCGCAGGTGTGACCACTTGCTGGTGTTGTCGCCCGTCCAGTGGGCGGNCGCCCAGCTAAATGGTGAGGTCCAAAACAGTACAGTTAGTTAGCAGTTTCTCAACTGTTATATAAATAAACAGCTCACCTGAGACCACCGGAGACACAGCTCCGGGGTGACGTTCTCCTGGAAGCCGCAGATGTCGGCGCCCACCCAGGGAATGCCAAAGAGGCTAAACTCGAGCAGCTGCACCACCGACCGCCGCAGGTGTGACCACTTGCTGGTGTTGTCGCCCGTCCAGTGGGCGGTGTAGCGACCCGAGCTGGCGTACGACGAGCGGCTGAGAATGAGCGAGCGCTTGTTGGGACGAATGTTCGCCAGCGCCCGCTGCGTGGCCACCGCCTCCGTCAGCGCGTACAGACTGTGCACGTCGTAGTGGGTGAACTGCCGCTGTTCGCCCTGCCTCGTCGCCAGACACAGCGTTCGGTAGCTGAGCGCCCGGACGTGCTCCGGCTCAGTTCGGTTCTGCACCCAAACGGCCTTCAGCCGGGCCACCGGAAAGTCCCACTTGTTCTGAGGGCACTTCGAGAAGTAGCAGTTCTTGGCGGGGCACACGTCGACGCTGTTGTCAAAGTTTGAGGGCTAACAACAAGTAGAACCGGTTAGTTTTGGTTTTTAGTTTACCAAACAAGTCAAAAATGTCACCTCGTTCATGTCCTGCAAATAAAGCAAAAATAGTTTTAAAAGTTTTATAAAATGTTTTTTTGCATAGAACTTACAATCCAAATGCCATCGTAGTCGAGTTCGTTGTGAAACTCTCGCAGATGCTTCTCCCACCAGGCGATGGTTCCATTTTTGAAAAAGTCCGGAAAAGAGCTTGGACCACGAGGCCATACTCGACCATAGAAAACATCTTTATCATTTGGCGCATCAGTGGGATTGCCGCGGCTAGCCGAAGGAATGCTTTTATCCCAAACTACATAAAGATCATCTTTGTAGCCCTCGGTAAAAGTCTGATAAGACTTGTTGTTTGCCTGAATTGCCACGTCAACAATGAAGACCCACTTTAGATCCATGTCTTTCCGAGTTTGCTTAATCAGCGCTGGAAGCTGGGAAAAGTTTTTGTGATCGTATCTGCAGAATAAACATGGCGTCAACTTTTCAACTTCTCAACACAAACAGCGTCATCTTACGTAAAATCCTCAAAGACGTTCATGTAGTCAATGTCGACGTAGTGCACGTCAACCGGTATCTTGGCTCTCAAATTGCGATCAATGACGCGCTTCACCTGAGCAGTGTCCCGGTAGCCGTAGCGAGACAGTTGAAAGCCCAAGCCCCAAAAGGGCGGCATCATGGGCAGGCCAATGAGGGAAAGGTACTGCTGAACAACGTCTTCAGGGTTCTTGCCGATAAAGATGAAAAAGTCAAGAATGCCACCGGAAGTCTTGTAGGAGAGTAGCGGGTCAGGCGTCAGGGTGTACTCTAAATAATTGAGCATAAAAATCATTAAGCAGTTTTTTCCACTTTTTCAAAACCTCATACCCATAGCATTGGAGTTGAGAAAGAAGATGGCATTAGCAGTGCCGTGCTTAGCATCCAACATCATCATGATGGGGTGAACGCCGTAGGAGTTTCGCTCCAGGTCATCAGGCGGCTGGTCAAATGCAAAGAGTGGCCACGTCTAAAAGCGGAAAGGTGTGCTGGCATTTACTAAATGTGCTCAAAAAGGCTATTTGTCATTTGAGTACCTTGTAGTTGAGACTGTGCAGGTAGCTGGTGTGCGTATTTTCGCCCATTCCGTAGACAAACTTGGTCGACAGTCGAGTGGCCAGCTGCAGCATTGTGTCCGGGCTGTACAGCAGTGCACCACCAAAAGTGGAATCCCAACTGTAAAAACATTAAAAATTAGTTTTGGAACTTACAAAAATTTAAATCACTTACACGACTTCTTTGGTGTCCCTTCGGGTGACGGTGAAACCAAAGGGCACATCTGCCTTTCCGATGTCCACTCTGTACTGAAGGGAGTCGTTCTTGGGCGGCTTGTTCGCTGCTAACAGTGGAAAATTCTTCTGTATCGGCACTTGGTAGGCATCCGCCTTACTTGGATCAGTTATTTGGAAACGCAAAATGTGCTCGGTGACTGGGATAAACTTGATGCTCAAGCTGTTTGACAGAGTAAACTTGGGAGCAGAGGGCTTTGAGCTGTCGAGCAGATCAAGTTGAAGCGC